CCCGTTGCTAGATGAACTCCATAGATTGATCTTGATGAAGCGTAGAAATTTTTTATTTTCTGCAACGTTCCCCAACACACAGTGCTCCTGCTGAGTGGGCGTCTCTTCTTGCTACCCCCGCAGCTCCCATGATCCCTTCTCATCCTGCACCTGCCCCCGAGGGAGAGCCCTCGAGGCAGCATCGTCGTGTTACCTTTAACCCGGAGGTCTCGGCTAGCATTGTCAGTTCAGGATCTGGGTCTGACTCAGGAGAGGATCCGGCAGCACCGGCAGACTCCTAGAGCGTGTGAGTATCCGTAGTGGTCATGTGATGTATGGATGTAGTTGTATGAGCCATGATGTATCGTTGCATGTATGCGAGTAGTCGCACCAGTCATGATGTCTATCTTTCATGTATGAGTCTATGTATAATTATGTTGGAGCTTTTTATTTGATCGATGTGTTTCTCGATTCTTTCGTTTTGCTCTTTCGGGTTTGTCGCTGGCTTTTCTTCCCATGTTTGGATGTTGCTCATCGCAGTTGCTCTTATTGGGAAAAATAAACAGTAGGATGACGCGGGGAGGCAGCAGCACACAGGCTTCTGAGGATGTCCCTGTTCGTCGCTTAGCAAGACAAGCAGGACACTCCCCCGAGCCGTACCCGCAACCACCGCCTCCACCGCCAAATCCACCCTCCACTAAACAAATTATGCGCATGTTTGAAGAAAGAAGGAACAATGATCTGATTGAGCTCTTAAAAAGTGTGCAAGCTATGGTTGGACAGAATGGGAATCAAAATGGCCATCACTCCAAGCTGTCGGATTTTCAAAGGACTAAGCCTCCCAGTTTCAGTCAAGTGGTTGGCCCTTTGGAAGCAAATGATTGGTTACGAATTATTGAGCAGAAGCTTGAAATTTCTCATACTGACGAAGCTGACAAGGTTCCGTTCGCTACCCACTATCTTGAAGGAGCCGCTGCTATTTGGTGGGATAATGCTAAAGCTCTGTGGCCTGCGGGAGAAGAAATCACGTGGACTAATTTTAAGGACCAATTCCTCAAGTACCATATTCCAGCTGGTATCATGAAGGTCAAGCAACGAGAATTCCTTGGTCTAACTCAAGGAAGTCTGTCAGTAAGTGAATATTTGCACAAGTTCAACCATCTGGCCCGTTATTCCCTCTATGATGTGGCCACGGAAGAAAGGAAGATCGACAGGTTCCTTGGAGGATTAAATCAACACCTCAGGAGTGCTCTATGCATGCTTGACTTTCCAAATTTCTAGTCTCTCGTAAATAAGGCCCTCATCGCAGAAAGAGAGTACAAGCCTATGCAAGACAACCGACCCACAAATAATGACCACAAGCGTAAATTCGAGCTGAAGAAGGACGGATAGCTCGTGCAGAAGGCTCGTACCTGGTAGCAGACTCAAGTGGAGTACAAACCAAATTGGCAACAAAATGTGAACAAGACCACTACCCAAGTCAAAAATGTCGTGACCAGTCCACTGCACGAGGAGCGTCAGCGCAAAAATGCCTACTTTAATTGTGGACAGACCGGACATTATGCCAGACAATGTCCCAACAAGTCAAATGCCCCTTTTCGACCGCAAGCCAATCACATGGGGCCATATCATACCCAAAAGATCGTCCAAGGGCAAGTTCATCACCTCTCCGCAGACGAAGCCCAAGAAAACCCCGAAGTCGTCATTGGTATGTTTCCTGTTAATAAAATACCCGCAATAATTTTATTTGACTCTAGGGCTTCCCACTCTTTTGTTTCTCGGAGTTTTGTTGCCCGAAACAAATTTCCTTGCTCGCTTTTGGGAAAAAGTATGATGGTTCAATCCCCGGGATCCGTGCTCAAAAGCAATCTGGTCTGCCAAAATTTAGAAATTGATATCAAGGGAGTCTGTTTTCCAACTACCTTGATAGTCATCGAGTCTGCCAAGTTGGATGTTATTTTGGGAATGAACTGGTTGATCCAATATCAAGTCTGCATCAATTGTGCGACCCGAGAAGTCACCCTAACAAATCAGGAAGGGCGATCCATAAAATTCTATGCCCGCAAAAGTATACCCAAAGGAGAACTGGTCTTCACAGCAGTAGCTGAAAAATTGGATCTGATTCCTGTGGTCAGTGAATTTCCTGTTGTATTGTGCAATATCATCTCCATATATGATATCATATGCAATCTTCCTAGCTCTCCCCAGCTTTCCCCTTTTAATTGTCATGTTCCAATCATCATGCACAAAAGTTGCAAAAGCCTTCAATGATAATTTCTCACACGCCCTGATTTTATCTACATATTGTGAGCAATGTACCTAGCTGTAAAGGCTGTAACTTGCCACTTTTTCTCACAAGTATGTTGCTCATTAAATGTTTTCACCATTACAGAATTTGTTCTATTATCCCAATGTGCATACAGATACCAGGGGCAACCCTTTTCACACTTTGCAGCAAGCCTAATTTTGTCATTCTTTGGAAATGTGATGTTAACTCTCCCTTTGCAACTATACTCTCTCACAGCTTTCCTCAAGAGCTCCACAGAAGAGAACAATTTCCCTGCATGGAACTTAGGTTCATGCATGTCTACTGCTGTGAAAGACTTGAAATTGAATTTCATGTCATCCTCATCTGAATCTGGAGCATTTAATTCCTTATCTTCTGAGTTGCAATCTTCAACCACCTTCTTCCCTTTCTTGTCATGCATTGGTTGCAATTGCTCCTGCAAGAGATCATCATCTCCATCCTCCAAGTCATAGTCACTATCCACAATCTCAAGTACATAATCACTGTCTGAGGAATCTGAGTCTGCATATTGTTCTTCCTCCTCTTCTGTTTTCTTCCCCCTTGGTCTCAACTTCACAAAGAAATGCTCAGTGCTCTCAATTTCAACACTTTCATCCACAACACCACAAGAAACATTGCTCTCACAGGGATCTTTGTTGTCACTTGCATTCATTTCCTTCTTCCTTGGGCTGAAAACACGAGGGATTTGTGCTACTGGATTAGCCACAACATCATCCCATTCTGCTCCTCCTCCTCTAGAAATGTGGCTATCTAAATGATCCAGGTATATCATTTGAAAGTGGTGTCCTAGATTTAGCTTTAGATACATATAATCTACATCAGTATCATTAGCCAAAAGCCTAGCACCACCTTCATTAAGCTGACAACCAGGGGCCAACCAATAGATATCAATTCTACCATACATTTCATAACCCAATTGCTCATCTATTTCTTCAAACATTCTGAAATAGGTGTTGTCCTTATGACAGTAATCAAAGCAAACCTTATGGCCATTCAGATAGCACCTATTCTGCCCACTCCCAAAGAAAAAACCTCCATGGATCACCTCAACAGTGAAAATCCACTTTCTTTCTCTGAAAAACATTGAGAACATCAATAATTTTAAATTTGTGCCCTCAACATACTGAAACCCTAGAATAATTTCGACAATTTTGCATCCAGCCGACATATTCATAGAAATAGCATGGGCAAAACGGCCTAATCACATCAAAGAAACATTTTTTTCACCCCAAATGTGCATCAAATCGACCTAGTGACACTAGATACGGACGTACCGTACGCCGGAGCCGCCTCGCCGTCGGGCCGCCGTCAATGGCCCTGCATCGCCACCAAACAGTGCCGACTCCTTTCAGCGACCGTCCAACTAGCTTCACCGCCGCACACACTACGAACAGAGGGCACCCGATACGCCGATCATCCGCCGCCGCACCCCATCGCCGCTAGGTTTCACTCTGTTTCGCACTCCTCTGTTTCGCGGTGGGGGAGAACAGGAGGGATCGAGACGAGAAGACAGAAAGATAGGGGGCAATTTGTGAAATAACTGATGGGCCTCGAGCTAACGGGTGGGTCCATCCTGACGTGCGGGTCCGGGCTAACGTGGCATACAGCAGAGTACGCTGTACGTAGGCCACGTGTAGAGCCAAGACTGGCGTTTCAACCTTAGGGACCGTATTGACGACGTATTTTCATGTACTGGGACTGTATTAGGGCAATACGCAAGTTCCAGTGAAGTGGACGTTCCAGGACTGAAGTGGACGTTACGTTGCCAGCGAGTACGAGGACTATAGATGCAATTATCTCTAACTGAGTCTTTGGATTTCCACTGATCAAGATGAAAAGAGAGCCTGCCTGTGTCTTTTTCTTCTTGTTTCAGTTATGTAATGTGTGGACAGTGTTACTACTTTTTCTCTTTGCATTTGCAGAACAAATGACGCGAATGGCTTTGGTCCACTTAATAATATGAAACCCGCTTCCCTTATGTAAAACTTAAAAATTCTTTTAGGAAATCACTTAAATGATCTACAGACTATGTTACTCATGAACCAAATTTCCTGTGTTACATAAGAGACTTTGGCCGCAACGACCATTAATATCCAAGTCTCTATTACAGGAGAGCCAAATTTCCTGTGTTTCTTCCTCCGCGTATCTTCTCTCACGCCACGGCAACTCCCCAGAGGCAACAGGGGCACTACAATCACAGTCCTTTCAGATGCTATCTCCACTAGAGCTTCTCCAACACACCGCTTTGGTTGATCAGATTGATGAGCAGCCAGCAAATTTGACATATTACGCTTCAGTTTGTTTTTAACCAAATTCATAAGGATGGGAGCTAAAAATGATGACATTCATATGTTTCCAGAAACTCCACAAAATGGCAGCACAAGAAGTGCTCAAAACAGCATGCCTAGTATTGCTAACAACAACAACAAAGCCTTTAGTCCCAAACAACCTAGTGTTACTAACCAAAAAGAAAAAAACAAGCTACAGATTCAAAATTATGACTAACTGATTTCAAAGAACTCATTCACTTCACTCCAAATAGATACCAAACAATCAAATCTGAAACCAGTAGGTTTCAACCCCACAAAACTTGAATAAATTACTAGCAAGTACTTTTACAACCAACCGTCCAACTAACAAAGGAAAGGAAATACTACACACATGCTCGATATAGGACGCGATACACCATTACTTCAACAAGAAGCAACACACTTCATAATTCAGGCCCTTTGACCTGGAAGCGTGAAATGCAGCTGTATACTTTCTTGGTTACCTTGCCTTGCATGTTGTCCACATACTCATAGAATGAATACCTCCAGGACTCACAGCGAAATAAGAAGATGCCCCAGTACAGCCAGAACCCAAAGATGAACCCAGCAGCCACAAAGCAATACAACAACAATGCCTCTCTATCTTCATCCAGGCTTGTTTCAGTTTGTGTAGATGTCGACGAGTTTACGCAGTCCTTCAATGGGAATCCACATAGCCCAGGATTATTGCTGTATATCGACGGGTCAACAAGCGTCTGCAGCTGGCTGCCTGTAGGTATCCTCCCTGATAAACCATTGCTCGAGAAGTTCAGCACACTGATGCTCTCCAAAGCTGCCAAGCTTGGAGGAATTTTCCCCGAGAGTTGGTTCCGAGAAAGGTCCAAGGATTCCAGAAGTACCATATTGCCAATGTCTTCAGGAATACAGCCTGACAGATGATTTCCTGAAAGGTTCAGGTACCTGAGTCTACTAAGGGTTGTGAGCCCATTTGGGATCTCTAGTGTAAGAGAGTTGCCAGATAAGTCGATACCCACCACGGCTGCTATCTTCAAATTGTAAACATGATCCACATTCTTCCAAACTATATGAATTTCCACTTGAATATATTGGTTAGAGTATATGAGGTCACGGTTTTTCTGTTCTTGTGACATGCCAGTAAAATTCCTAAAATCGTTTGGAATGGGTCCGGTGAGCTTATTTTTGGATAAGTCCAATACTTGGAGCTGGCGAAATTGTAAGATCTTGTGGGGTATAATGCCATCAAACATGTTTGACGAGAGTCGGAGAAAGTTGAGGTCAGGCAAACTCATGCTTAACCAAGAAGGTATTCTACCAGAGAAATTATTGCCTCCAAGATCTAGAGTAATAAGGTTTATGCATTTCTTAAGACCCAGAGGAAAGGTACCTCTAAAATGGTTATTGGCTAGGAGTAGGCATTTGAGATTAGCTTGACATGTCCTCGAGAATGGAACTACACCACTGAAAGAGTTGCTGGACAAATCCATGAATCGCAAATTTTGCAAGTCCCATAAACACTTGGAAAGATCTCCATGTAAGGCATTGTTTGATAGGTCTACGAAGAATAAATTAGTACGGTTACAAAGGAAATCCTCACCCCCATTTGTCAGAAGCTTGCCGTACAGCTGGTTTTGACTGAAAGCAATGGTGGTCAGCTGTCTTGGATGCTCACTAAAACAGTCCCTTAGCTCTGCAACAATGTTGTTTGCCGTGAAGTCAACAGATTGCAGGGTTGTGCAGTTTTGAAAGGTCTGATGGTGAATGCCGGTAAATCCATTGTATCCAGCACTGACCGTAGTCAGTGCTCTTCCTATGCAAATGGATGATGGGAACATCCCTGAGAAGTTGTTATATGCTATATGAACCCAACGCAGGAAGGTGCTATTCCCAAGATCGGGGAAGATCTGGCCTCCGAGCTGGTTTCCATTCACATACAAATCCTGGAGTTTTACCAGATGAGAAATGGTACCTGGCAGCTGCCCTTCCAAATAGTTATTATGAAGGTATATGATCTGCAGTTCTGTCATGTTTCCAATCTCCAGCGGGATGCTCCCTCTCAGATTATTGTTTCCCAGGCCCAGCCACTGCAGCTTCACAAGCATCCCAATGGTTGGTGGGATTGGTCCAGTCAAAGTAACCGAACTAAGACGGAGCTCCTCCAAACTCGTTAAGTTACCAATCTCTTGAGGTAGTGTCTCATTAAGCCCCAACTCTATTAGTTGCAGTACAGCAAGGTGCTTTAGCTGGCCAATGCTGTGTGGGATGGCACCCCTCAGATACGGGTTATGGCTTATCTCCAACGCGACCAAGCTCGTCAGGTTGCCAATCCCTGCTGGAATTGTGCCATACAGACCATTGTCGGTCAGGATGAGTTCCTCCAGGTGGGGAAAGGCGGAGTAGTCGAACTTGTCAAGTGTGCCATTCAGACTTACATCCTCAAGCACGAGCTTTGTGATGTGCCCGACAAAGTCGCAAGTGATGTATGTCCACATGCAAAGGCTGCTGGAGTTGGCTAACGACCATGGCCCAAGGGACTCATCGGCACTGGCCAAGCTAGCCTTCCACTTCACAAGTGCTTCAGCTTCACGCCGGATGCCGACCACCACCGGCGTGACCGTGCATAGCAGGAGACAAGGGCAAGAGAGTAGGAGGAGGCCTAGAAGATGTAGGTGCTTCATGATGGCTTGGTAGGAGTGGTGCTTCACTGCCGTAGAGGATATAAAGCCTCTGGACGAGCCAGCCGGCCGGCCGGCCCACCATTACAGTGGTGGTCTGATTTACAAATGGGACATTCTCAGTCTAGATTAAGAAGATGCTAACATGCTAGTACTTTATAGTCCCCACGACAATAGGAACTTACTAATCTGGTGACCTCGTGGTTTACAAATGGCACACTATCAGTGAATGATGTAGTACTCTCAGTTTAGATTAAGGAGAAGCTACATGCTAGTATTGTATAGTCCCCATGAGATTAGGAAATTACAAATAGCATGATGTGTGCATGTGTCATTATCAGGGTGACACTTCGAAGTCATGGCACACATAATGCACTCGAAATTATAAATATTTTTTTAACTCTGATAGTGGACCGTATCACCACCAATATATTGGTTGATATCTGATACAGTATGTTCCTTGCCACAAAAAAACATATATGCTACTAATTTGATATTCATGATTTAGAACCTTGCTCCTAGCCACCTAGAGCAGCAATTCAGACTTCATTGGCAGACACTGTGTCGACAGAAGAAAGGACAAAAGGAGGAACATGGCTAACTAAGAAAAAAAAACATTTTAGAACAAACTTGCAAAAAGTAATGGGTATTGTAAAATGGTTTTTTGTTCAGGTCAAAGAAACAAGCATACATTACTTCATAGAATTTGTTCTAAACAGCCAATTTGGAGAGCAAATACAATGGCAACTGTGTGTACTGTCATTTGAAATGTGGGTACTGTCACTTGAAATGTTGCATAGATATAATGTCACTTAAAGGACATTATTGGTACTAAAAAAATGTTCATGATAATATGATACATAAATGAAAAAAATGAAAAATTCTCCTGTTGGTCAAGATCCATAAAATATATTGAAGAAGATGGCCAGTACTGAATTATAATTGGGGGACAAGTAAGCAAAAGCAGTGATTTATTTGCATGCAATATTAGTTCCACTGGCTTCTCAGCTATTCCTGAGAGTGCTTAAACAGGATCACTAACCTTAGCAGACTTGCCAATCACCCAACCCAAACATGGTTATCTTGAAAGGGAAACAACCCAGAAGCTTCTGTAACAACCCACTCGCCAAGAAGCTTATCTTCCAGTATGCTGTTCAGGCCCAGGAAATTATCTTCTTGCATGCTTTTTTTAATCATTTCGCAAATGCCTTGTGACCCATGTCTTATCAGGTCCACGATTCAATTGGAGGCTAGAAGTCGAGGGATATTTAGCTTTTGGGAGATATCATACTATGGTCTTTCCTATGTCTGACTCTCCATGTATTATAACACTCGAACTCATGCAGTTATAATACCTAGACTCCAGACATAATAAAATTACAATAAGATAGCTCCTCGATGAGAATATTCATCTCTACCTTATGGTTATCTTTCCTGTCTAATGTCCAAATAGGCAAATACCATAACTCTCCATTTAGTTGATCCCGGAAAGCTACAATATTTTGATACTAGACATAAGAACGAGAATATTAAGGTAGCTCCCCTGCAAAAAAATAAAATAAAAAATCAGCCCTCCTAGCTTTGCAGATGTTACATCACCAGATTGAATGAGGCATTCTCTATCAACCAGATCTTAGTACCAATTGGTCTGAGAGATTTAGGAAAATGCTACACAAGCCATCATTCTGCATGTTGCAATGACTTCCAAAAAGGGAGGCCTTCAAACCTGGTAAAGGAAGATGAATATATTAGAGTCTAAACAAACTAGCAAAATATCCATCCAAACACTGTAGTGTTCTGTTCAAACAGCACAATATGTCACATAAATGAATAAAGAAGTGTGATTGCATTTAGAGTACTACTGGCCAATGGACAGAACTGATACAAAACTGCAACCAACTTAGGTTATATATATAAAAAGATACTGATTTAATCAATATGAGAAAACGTGGGTTCTTGCTGATGGAGGTTATGACTTGTCAGATCTAGAACTATTGCAAATACGTCCGAAGCTTGGTATTCCTTAACACTGACGCCGATTGATAATTTACCAGGGTCGTAGGAGAAACACCCGAGAAGATCCTAACATTTTAGTATCTTGCTTGCTAGGAGTCCAATCAAGTGAAAATTAGGGATGCAAGGGGGCAACTCAGAGAGCCCACATGTAAGTAAGTATATCTAAACTGCAAAGTCAACCTTATGTTAATTTCAAATGGGGAATTGCACTGAGTAAACTTCAAGTACAGTTATATGTGGGCTTGGCGGGTTGCCCGATTGCATCCTTGACAAACAAAGTAAATATAGATCATGTGGAGGACGAACAAATTATTTAATCGCATAACTGTTCACACATACCATGAGGCCAACACAACAACTAATGACATATTAACAAAGTAAGAAGTGATTCAATAGCACAAGTAATACTAATCTTGAAATTAAAGGCATAGTCAAAAAAATACCTCATTTCAAGCCTTCGAACTCTGCAACTTCTGTCATGCAATTATGAAACCGATGGTCTCATGTCTACCATGTTCTGTTGTACGCTGCAGAAGTCTGTGCACATGAATTCCAAGTGCAAACTCTGCGACATCTTCCAGTTTGATGCTTCCATGTGGACAAAACAGTTTGGAGCATACACATGCCTAGAGGAGTTCACTTGTTATTGCAAAGATCTCCGCACATGTAAGCAATCAAGAAGCCTATTGTAAGCCACAATGTTTGGTATAAACCCTAAATCAAGCATTTCATCCAACACAGCCTCACCTTCTTTCACCCTTCCCTGCCTGCCAAAGCCCTGCACCGGCATGCTATATGTCACAGCATCAGCTGCAAAACCCTTCTCTTTAGCCAGAATCCTCAGCCTGTTTGCATCAGAAATCATCCCAGCTTCACAAAGTGACTCAATTATACAGTTACAAGAAATGGTATCCGGTACAATCCCCTCTCCAACCATCCTTCCCATCAACCGGCACACATCATCCAGCTTCCCCGCCTTCATCAAGCAATCCAGAACCGTTACGCCAGCAGGGACACTCAAGCAGGATGCCCTGTTCCTCTCCAATACCAACTCCACTATTTCCACTGCTTTGTCCACCCTTCCAACATGGCACAGGGATTCAACAAGATCCTTCCGGCACCACCGCATCCACCAAAAACTCGGAAAACACCTCTGCTGCCTTCAAAGCGTCGCCCCCACGGCACAATCCACTGATCAAAATCTCCATGGAAGCAGCCGACAGCCCGGCCCCAAGTTGCAGCATCTCGTGAGCAACCTTAAGGCCTTCCTTGTACCTTCCTTCTCTGAAGAACCCGCGCATAAGAGTATTGAAGCTCACACCAGTCGGCGCACAGCTCCGGCGCCGCATCTCCTCAAACCACCGCATGGCGGCATCGACGCCTTCGACGCAGCAGGAGCTGTTGATGAGTATGTTGAAGGTGTAGGCATCCGGGGCGACGCGGTGGACGCTGGTCATCTCGCCGTAGAAGCGGATGGCGTCGTCGTGGCGGTGGAGACGGGCGAGGGCGTGGAGGATGATGTTGTAGAACTCGGCGGGGAGGGGCGAGTCCGCGGCGCGCCGGAGGGACGCGAGGGCCTCGGACGCCTCGGGGATGTCGCCGGAGGTGGCGAAGGCGAGGATGGCCTTGCGGAAGGTCGGGAGGAGGTCGGGGCAGGCGAAGATGGAGTCGTCGGCGCAGGGGCAGGGGCGGGAGAGGACGAGCTGGAGGAGGCGCTGCAGAGAGGGGAGGCGGCGGGAGGCCGCGAGGCGCGCGGCGAGGAGGCTCGTGAGGCGGTGGTCGGGGCGGAAGGCCGAGGAGGCGTCGGCGGCCGCGAGGAGGAGGTGGAGGTCGAGCGGCGCGAGGCGCGGGTGGTGCCTCGCGCGGCGCAGGAGGCGGAGGAGCGACGCCGGGGACGAGGCGTGCGCGGAGGGGAGCGCCGGGAGGGGGCTCGGCGGCGAGAGGTGGGAGACGGCGAGCGGGAGGAGCGGCAGGGAGGGGTCAAGGGGGATGGAGGGGAGCGAGGTGGAGATTTCGGGGTTCTCCTCCAGGGTTTCGATCTCCGGCGAGATGAGGCGCTGGTGCTTGGAGATGATGGAGGGGAGCTTCCGCGCCAGGCGGCGCGAGGCGGCCATCGACGGTCGCCGGAGGGAGAAAGGGGAGGGAATCAGAGGAGTGTGTGTGTGGCCGGGGCATGGGCTTAGCCCACACGCATGGGGCATGGGCTACATGATAATTTACTGGCGAAGCCCATATTACAGTGCGAATACTATTCAAATTTTCCCTCTGAAAAATACATTTTTCATTTCAAAATTTCCATTGTGAGCTGTTCTAAAAATCCACTACTTCAAAATTTTCAGGTGTCCTAAAAAAGTTGCAGGTTTATTTATATTTTTTTTTGTACTTTGGATGATCTCGCATTTCACAAAGGCCATCCTAAATTTCAAGGTGGGTCTTAGATGCAGAACTTCACGAAATTGGAATCTTCCGTGGCAAAACACTAATGGGAACATTATAGACTTGTTTGGGTGTAAATTTTCAATCCTTTCATGCCCCGAGAACCATCATGCCGTCGAGAACCGATAGGCTATGATACCAACTAAACATGGGCATCCTCCGGTTCGGGCTTGGTTCGGACCGGGCTTTGCAAAGCCCGGCCTCAAAATCCCAAGCCCCGGCCCGGTCCGGCCCAATACACATGAGTGGTGCACTTTTAAATTAAAATAATGAATTTTGGAATATTTAACTGATATATTGTACCTATATTTTTATTATAAAATAGTGACTTATGCCATGTTCAGGCTTTTCTTCGAGCTTTCGGGGCGGGTTTCGAGTGGATTTAAATATTAACATGTCCCATAATGTCAACCGACAACAAAGCTTCGCGTCACACCCTTCTGAAGTCACTTGGGTTGAAATAGGGGCGCACACGACCGAATCCCATCCGATCCAGCAATGTACAAGCGTAAAGCACCCAATGAAGATATGCGGCTGGGCATTCCGGAACT